ATCAGGACAGCCTCTTTTCAGCTGTCCTCGATGGCACACCTCTCTCTGGCCCTAGCTCTCTGCCCAAAGGCACTCAGCTTTCTCAATCTGTGGGCCGCAAAGCCCACCATGCTGTTTCCTGCTGCCGGGTCTCTCCTGCCACCACTTCTCAGTCTTCAGAGTTACAGCTCTTTCTCTCTCTCTGTCTCCTGGTTCCAGGAGCTTCTCAGTGCAGGGATCCTGGGTCCAAAGGAGGCACTCCCCACTCCTGGCTGTTCTTCCTTGGTAGTGGTGGTGGGGTATTCTCTCTCCCGCCTCTGGGGTGGCTCATTTCACACTCAGCGGGATGGCAAAACTGGCCAATCCCTTTGGTGGGCCACAATTACCCTATCTCATAGTCCCCCCAATCACTTGGGTGGGAGTTTCAGACCATGGCTAGAAAGGCCACACAGAAGTGATCCATCACACTGCCCCTGGTCACTCGGTGTCACAGCAGCTGGCACCAGGATGGCCTGAGCCCAGCTGGGCCAGTGGAGCAGGCAGGGACTTAAATGAAGTCCATTTCACCTGGGGGCTCTCAGCCTTCTTGACATTTGTCAGGTAAGGGCCTGGGGGAGAGAGAAGCCAGCACCAGGGACAGCAGGGCTGCAGGCTGGGAGCGGGAGAGGCAGAGCCCTGGGACACTGTTCCATTAGTCTTGAGCCAATGTGAATGGGTTTCTGTTCCTAACACCCCAAAGTCCCGAGTCACTCAGGAGGGAAGGACTCTGGATTCAGGCCCGCCTCATCATCCCGAATAACCGCAAGTGGATTTGTACGCATATATGTGTGTGTTTATGTGTGTGTGTTTGTGTGTGAGGAACTCCTGCAAGAGACATGTCTGTCTGTGCCTCTGTCTGCGCCCTGGACCGTGAGCCCTGTGAGGACAGGGTCACGGCTGCTTTGGTCACCTCTGTCGCCAAGCACATAGCAGGCAGTTCAGTGAAACTTTGCTGAATGAAAGAATGAATGAAAGACATTTCTCTAAGGTTAATAAGGATTTTTTTAAATATTAAAAACATATACATAAACTTGAAGACAGCCAAATTCATTTCTACACATTTATTGTAGCCCCCTTCCCAAATTGCGGGTGTACACAAACACTTAGCTAGGAGGACAGGGAACAATGAACCATCACCGCACCACCGCGTGCGTTCTGAGGAGATTCTTTCCACTTCCACGCCTGCCCCTGCATTCACACCCCTGGCTCTCAGTAGGCAGAGCTGTGACTCTGGATCCCAGAGGGGGCTGGCCACACATGAGGACATAACGAGGCTGAGTATTAAGTGGCAGATGTGAGAACAGCCCTCCCATCCCCACCCCGCCCCATGGCGCAGCAAGGAGGAGCAGCGGGGCTCTGGCCAAGACTGCCCGCCCCCACACCCCACCTCTGCAATGCATTTGCCTGTGCAACCTGGGATGAGTGACTTTCCGTATCTGTGCTCAGTTTCCTCATCAATGAAATGGGGAAAATCACGTAGGGATCATGTAAAGCACCGAGAACAGTGCCTGGCACCTAGTCAGGTGCAATCAGCTTAAGCTGTTGACTACGACTGCTATTTGTTGACATGATGGGGGAGGAGGATCACAGCCCCTGACCTCCTGCTCCCCAGGCTCCACAGAAATAAGCTGGTGCCCGAGGGGGCCTCTCAGGGGTAACCACGGACACGTGGCACTGAGCCCGCTCCCCTGGCTCCACCGCCCGCCTTCATGCAGGGTATCTCTTTCTTCCTTTCCTCCCCTCATCATTTTACCTGCTCAGGTCACTCCCAATTTGGGGTGGGGGGCACCTCCACCCTCAGCTCCTCCACACCAGCTTCCCTCCCTCTTCTAGAAGGAATTAAGATGCTGTTTCAGAATCCCCAGTCCTTGGTTTTCTATTTGGGTAGGTCTTGTGTCTCAGGTCATTTTTAACTCCCTGACCCCAGGAAGTGAGGTCAAGGGGGAAGGAAAGCCCCACTCCACCCATCTTCACCTGGAGCTTCTCCGGAACCTGGCTTACTAAGTGCCAAGATCTGTGGCATGGGAGAAAGCTGTGGCAGTCTACTTCCGTAAAGATGACAGCCTTGGAAACCCTATGCGGCAGTTCTACTCTGTCATATACGGTCGCTATGAGTCGGGATCGACTGGATGGCAACTGGTGAAATCTCTGCCGTGATAGGGCTCTCTGGTAGGGGACTGAGGGGCCCCCATACTCACCAGTGGCTCTGGGATGCCCTGGGCCTCTGTGTAGAGAACCTTCCCCCCCAGCAACCTGCCTTCCTCTTAATCTTCCTCCCTCCTGCCTGCAGCAGGACCCTCAGGCACCTTGTACCCAGGATAATCCGGGCGTCCTGTCTGTCTCTCTCCCTTGTGCCCCCACCCTCTGCTCCTACCACTTCCCCATCCTGGAGGAAGGGGCCAGGGGCAGTCCCTCATCTGTGGGGCCTTGGGCAAGTCTCTTTGCTTTCCCTGGGCCTCAGTTTCCCCATTTGGGAAGGGGCTCATAGGATGACCCTGCCCTCCACTCACCATCATAATCCTCCCAGCTTCTCCCCTAACTTTAATGAGCCTCGCACCCATTTTGGAGACCCACAAAAGGTTGTGTTCTCAGACACACCCTTAAGATGACTTCTTCACCCCTGGGTCCTTTAATTAGCAAACATTCACTGTCGGCAAATAGAATTCAGACTGGGGGGCTCACAACCCTCCCCCAATCCTGGAAGAGATGCCAAGTGGGGAGGAAGTGGATCCTAGAAATGGACCGTTCCTCTTACCCGTGTGGGAAAACTCAAATGCCCCACGGAGTCCCAGCGTACTCCTGGGGTGGGAGGTATAGTGGGTTGAATGGTGGCCCCCCAAAAGATACGTCCCCATCCTAGGCCCCGGAACCTGTGAATGTGACCTTATTTGGAAAAAGGGTTTTTGCAGGTGTGATTAAGTGAAGGATCTTAAGAAGAGAGCACCCTGGATTTAGAGTGGGCCTAACTCCCATGAAAGGAGCCCTGGTGGCGCAGTGGTTAAGTGCTCAGCTGCTAACCAAAAGGTCAGTGATTCGAAACCACCAGTAGCTCCATGGGAGAAAGATGTGACAGTCTGCTTCTGTAAAGATTACAGCCTTGGCAACCCTACGGGGCAGTTCTACTGCATCCTATAGGGTCACCATGAGTCAGAACCGACTTGAGGGCAACGGGTTTAACTTCAATGACAGGTGTTTTTATGAAAGAGAGAAGCGGAGAAGGAGAAGGCCAGATGAAGACGGAGGCAGAGACTGGCGTTATGCAGCCACAAGCCAAGAAATGCCTGGCGTCAACAAAAGCTGGTGGAGGCCAGGAAGGACCCTCCCCTAGAGCCTGCAGGGGGAGCGTAGTCTTTCGGACTTCTGGTCTCCAGAAATCAGAGACTACATTCCTCTTGTTCTGAGCCACCAAGTTTGTGGTGATTTGGTAGGGCAGCCCCAGGACACTAACACAGGAGGTCAGACAAACTGGAGGAGTGTCGGAGTGGGGCTGGGGCTCCGGGGCTGTGGTGGTGGGTGGGCGGGTACCACTGCATGACCGGGGCAGTGGGACCAGTCCGGAGTCCTGAGGGGAGGAGTACGAGAGCTCACAGATCAATGAACTTGGATGGAAGGTGGGAGAATGCGACAGTCTGCTTCACACTGTCCGGGAGGGGGCTGGCAGACCCCTGAGAGGGGCCACTGAAGAGACTGGCGTGGGAGGAAGGTGGGAAAGGACAGCCTGACAGTACAAGGTCCAGGGGCTTTGAGACAGGTAAACGGGGCTGAGATTAACAAACAGTAGGGATGCGGCCTAGTAAAGCCCAAATATTCCACCCAAAAGGGCCATGTCCTGCTAGAACAGACTGCAGAAGGGGTACTTAGTGGGGAGTGGATTGTGCCAGACTGAAGAATGAGAGGGCCTGATGGAACAATCCACGGTCCCAGTGGAAGGTATCACAGGTCAGGTTAAGGGGGAAGACATAATGGCTTGGTGGAGGGTGCTGCCCAGCTGGAGCCCACCTTAGACGATGAAAGGAGAGGCCATTGAAAGACACTGCATTCTCTTGCCCGGCTCCCACCAATGACCGCCCTGATGGTAACATAACAGAGAGTCCCAGATGGAGCAGGAGAAAAGCGGGTTGCAGAACTCAAATTCTAGTAAAAAGACCAGACTTAATGGTCTGACTGAGACTGGAAGGACCCCGGAAGACATGTCCCCTGGACTCTCTGTTAGCCCAGAACTAAAACCATTCCTGAGGCCAATCCTTCAGACAAAGATTAGAGTGGACTATGAGACATAAAATGATACTCATGAAGAGTGTGCTTCTTAGCTCAAGTAGATACACGAGACTAAATGGGCGGCTCCTGTCCAGAGGCGAGATGAGAAGGCAAAAAGGGACAGGAGCTGGTTGAATGGACACGGGAAATCTGGGGTGGACAGACAGTATAGGGAGAGCAACTAGGGTCACATAACAACGTATGTATAAATTTCTGTATGAGAGACTAACTTGAATTGTAAACTTTCACTTAAAGTACAACAATAAAATTAAAAAAAAAAAAAAAAAAGTGCATTTTCTTACAATGGTCTGTACCAGTGGACCAAAGGAAGGGGCATTCTGGGGTAAGGTATGATAACACTGATCACGTAAACCAGGGTGTGCTAACGTAATGACAGGTTAATTCGGCTCTACTCCAGGTTCTATTTTTCTTTGGCCAAAAGAGGGAACGCAAAGTCCTTCGAGCCAGGACCTTGGGGGTCTGGTGGTTCTGGGTGGGTGGAAGAGGAGCACTGTGGAGTGTACCACTCAGCCAGATGTTGTAGGCTGGTCCCAGGGGAAGGTACCACTGTTCTGGTCAGTAGGGGGGTACCCGAATGCCAAGTTGAGTCGGCCCCAGTCCAAGATCCTGGTAGTTTCCGCTGGGCCAGCGCAGGCAGGGGTGATATGGGGGAGAAGGCCACATGGGCGCTTGGTACAAGTCCAAGTCCAGGTTCCAGCTGTCTCCTATTTCTCGCACGTGGTTGCTGCTTGCGTCGCGGGTGCGGCCTGGGTCGCCGGTGCTTTCTGGGTCGAGGGAGGTCGGCCCCGGGAGCAGACCTGGGCATGCACCTCCTGCAGCTGTGCCTGCAGCTCCTCCAGGGCGCTCTGCGACGGCACCGCCTGTACATGAGCCTGCAGTGCCTCGAGGGTGAGTGACAGGCGGCCCACCTCATCCTGCATCGCATTCCAGGCGGCGCGCTGCTCCTCCTCCTTGTTGCGCTGTTGCTTCTGGTGGCGCCAGTACTCCAGCACCAGGCAGCCGCCGCCAACAATGAAGATGGTGGCCTCACCCAGCAGCTCGGCGCCCAGCTCGGCGGCTGCCTCCTCATTCAGCGGCTTGATGGCTGCGCCCCGGAAGCCCATGATGCGCATCTTGGTCCGCATCTCCACCCAGTGGTACACTGCGAGGGAAGACAGGGGTCAGGCCACGCTTGGGGAGTCCCCTGCAAGCCCCGCCCCTCCGCGCTTCGGCGTTCCAGTCGGAGCAATGGGATGCGGCAGCCAGAACTGCCAGGTCCCTTGAAACAACACTGCGCCTGGCCCCACCCAATGGATGCCCAGTCACCCACATGGGGTGCCAAGAGGGTGCCTTAAAAGCGGCCAGAAGATCCTGGCGAGCAGCCAGGAATGAGAAACCCAGCTCCGGATGGGAAGTCCCAGCAGCTCCGGGAGCAAAGTCCACGGAAGGTGTAAAAACTCAATTGCCAGACACTCAGTTCCCTCTACTCCCTCAAGCCACTGCCACCGCCACCTGCAGGCCAGTCGGCTGTCTCCCTCCCCTGCCCCACTCCCACCCCGCCGCCCCCGCTTCCCTGGAGAAAAGCCGACCCCTTCATGAATCTTCCCAAAATGCAGAATGGGGTTGCGGTGGAGGCGCACCTCCTGGCTCCAAAGAATGGGCAGCTGAAATGTGGGAGTCGATGCTAAGCGCCCCTGAACCTGGTAACCAATCCTTTTGCAAGTCTGGTGACTCCAATTCTAGAGGCTTTTACCAACCCTGAATGTGGAGCTAACCACTGTGAGCTTCTGCTGGTGAGGTGTCTGGCATATGCCTTGGAAAAGCTCAAGAGTTGAGTGGCGCTGATGGTGCAAAACCTGCTTCCCTGCCTAACTAAAAGCTGGAGTCAGCTCTGGCTCATGGGGACCCCATGTATCTGAGTAGAACTGTGCTACATAGGGTTTTCAATGGCTGTGATCTTTGGAAGTAGATCACCGGGCCTTTCTTCCAAGGCACCTCTAGGTGGATTTGAACTGCCAGCCTCTGGGTGGATTTGAACTACCAACCTTTTAGCTAGTGCTTTACTGTTTGCAACACCTGGGGACGCCCCTCCCTTGCCTAGCTGCTTCTGTATGTGAAAAAGGATTCTTAGCACTTGAGTCTTTAAAACTAACACACAGAATTGATGCTGAACCCTGACTCACTCCTATAATCATATTCATCCAAGGATACATGAAATTATTAGGGAGTGGGGGTAATTTCCAACATACCATTTTACTTTCAATGTTTAATAATTATGAAAATGTATAATATATGAATGTTTAAAATTAATTGTGTGATAGTAAGTTTAAAAGCAGTTCATTTCAAAAGTGTGGTACATACACACAATGGAGCATTACTCAGCCATGAAGAGAAATGAAGCCCTGATACACGCTATAACACGCGGTGTGATGGATCACTCTTGTGTGGCCTTTCTAGCCATGGTCTGGTAACTCCCTGCCAGGTGACTGGGTGGGACGGTGTGATAGGGAAATTGTGACCCACCAAAGGGATTGGTCAGTTTTGCCACTCCTCTGGGCTTGAAATGAGCCACCCCAGAGGCGGCAGAGAGGCTCCCACCACCACCAAGGAAGAACAATCAGGAGCAGAGAGTGCATCCTTTGGACCTGGGATCCATGCACTGAGAAGCTCCTGGAACCAGGAGAGAGAGAGAGAGAGAGATGTAACCCTGAAGATGTCAAGAAGCGGTGGCAGGAGAGACTGTGCAGTGGGCTTCCCGGCCCACAGAGCGAGAAAGCAGAGTGCTTTTGGGCCAGGAAGAGGCGAGCCTGCGAGCACAGCTGGGAAGAGGCTGTCCTGATGGAAGAACTGTATCCTGAGCATTCCTGAGCCTGAATTGTAACCTGTTACTTCCCTAATAAATCCCATAATTGTGAGTACTGTCTGAGTTCTGTGTGGCCATTGAAATGAATTATGGAACCCAGCAGAGAAACAGAGAGTGCCGTGGGAGGGACGGATGGCGGAGAGAGGAGGCATCTCATAGGAATCAGCCTAAGGCTACTGATCCAGAGTCTCCTTCCCCCTTGTGAAGTTAGAGGAGGTCAGACACCACCCCCACGCCATTTTCACAAACATGTATGAAACTTGAAATCATGATGCTAAGTGAAATAAGTTAATCAGGAAAGAACAAATACTGTATGAACCCACTTATATGAAATATCTAGAGTAGGTAAATGTGTATTAGTGGTTCCCAGGGGCAGGAGAGAGGGGGGAAGGGGAAGTCATTGTTTAGGAAGCAGTGGGTTTCTGTTTATGGTGATGGGAAATGTGGCAAGGATTATTGGTGACGGTTGCACAACAGGATTAATGAAATTGATTATAACTAAATTGTACATGTGAAAAACACTGAATTGGCCAATGTATTATATATAGTTTTACAACTGTATTAAAAAAAAAATAGTTCAACCCAGAAGAAAATATTTTAGCATTGAGAACCTTATGATGACAGGAAAATTGAACAAAATTAAAATTAGAACTTCTGTACATGTTTGTTGCCAACTGTCATGGATCTCATTGTACTTCTCCCTGTCCCACCCCAAATATGTGTTATAAATCCTAACCTCTATGCCTGTGGGAATGGGTTGTGTTTGTTATGTTAATGAGGCAGGATTAGTACAGGGTATGTCTTGAGTTAATCTCTTTTGAGATATAAAGGAGATTAAATAAGCAAAGGAAAGAAACAGATGGGGTAAGAGAGATGCCAAGCCACATGAAGATAGCCCAGGAGCAGAAGCGAAAAGAAACAAGGACCCTCCCCCAGGGCCAACAGAGAGAGAAGCCTTCCCCTAGGGCTGGCACCCTGAATTCCGACTTCTAGCCTCCAAAACTGTGAGAAAGTAAATTTCTGTTTGTCAAAGCCACCCATTTATGTTATAGCAGCACTAGATAACCAAGACACCAACATATAAACAATGAGACAAAATTCTGTGGGGAAGGGAACTGTAAATACAAGTTCAAGGACAAAAATGGACAATGTAAAATTTCTGTCTGCAAAAGAAGAGCTTGTTATCATTTTTTATTAACCAGATGTTGGTAGGCATCAAATCACTAGGTATTTAGATTATGTAAGAGATACTCAAAGGAAAAAAATTAAGTCAAAGGGTGTGTGTGTGTGTGAACGCACAAGCACCAGAAGAGAGACTAGATAAGTGGGAGCTCCTAAAAGTCAAACACTTAGGCTCATCAAAAGACTTCACCAAAAGAGTCAAAGGACAACCTACAGAATGGAAAAAAATTTTGGCTACGACAAATCCGATCAACGTCTAATCTCTAAAATCTACAAGATTCTGCAAAACCTCAACAACAAAAAGACAAATAACCCAATTAAAAAATGGGCAAAGAATATGAACAGGCACTTCGCCGAAGAAGATATTCAGGCGGCTAACAGACACATGAAGAAATGCTCACGATCATTAGCCATTAGAGAAATGTAGATCAAAACTACAATGAGATACCCTCTCACCCCAACAAGGCTAGCACTAATCCAAAAAACACAAAGTAATAAACGCTGGAGAGGTTGTGGAGAGACTGGAACACTTACACACTATTGGTGGGAATGTAAAATGGTACAACCACTTTGGAAATCAGTTTGGCACCTCCTTAAAAAGCTAGAAATGGAAGTACCATACAATCCAGCAATCCCACTCCTTGGAATATATCCTAGAGAAATAAGAGCCATCACATGAACAGATATATGCACACCCATGTTCACTGCAGCACAGGTTCACAATAGCAAAAAGATGGAAACAACCTAGATGCCCATCAACGGACGAATGGGTAAACAAATTATGGTATATCCACATGATGGAATACTACGCAACGATAAAGAACAACGATGAAGCCGTGAAACATAACATGGAGGAAGCTGGAACTCATTATGCTGTGTAAATTTCATCAGTCACAGAAGGACAAATACTGTATAAGAACACTATTATAAGAACTCAAGAAAAGGTTTAAACACAGAAGACAACACTCTTTGATGGTTATGAGGGTGAGGAGGGAGGGTGAGGATTATTTACTAACTAGATATTAGATAAGATTTATCTTAGGTGAAGGGAAGGACAGCACCACTACAGGGGAAGTCAGTACAACTGGACTAAACCAATAGCTAAGAAGTTTCCTGAATACAACCAAACACTTCGAGGGACAGAGTAGCAGGGGTGGGGGTCTTGGGACCATGGTTTCAGGCGACATCTAGGTCCATTGGCATAACAAAGTTTATTAAGAAAATGTTCTGCATCTCATTTTGGTGAGTGGCATCTGGGGTCTTAAAAGCTAACAAGCAGCCATCTAAGATGCATCAATTGGTCCCAATCACCTGGAGTAGGAATGAAGAACACCAAAGACACAAGGAAAGTATTAGCCCAAGAGACAGAAAGGGCCACATAAACCAGAGACTTCATCAGCCTGAGAACAGAAGAACTAGATGGCCCAGCTACCACCAATGACCGCCCTGACAGGGAACACAACAGAGTCCCTGATGGAGCAGGAGAAAGGTAGGGTGCAGAACTCAAATTCTAGTAAGAAGAGCAGACTTAATGGTCTGACTGAGACTAGAGAAACCCCGGAAAGCATGGCCCCTGGATTCTCTATCAGCTCAGAAATAAAACAATTTCCAAGGCCAACTCTTCAGACAGGGATTGGACTGGACTGTGGGACATAAAGTGATACTCGTGAGAAGTGTGCCTCTTAGCTCAAGGAGATACAAGAGACTAAACAGGCAGCTTCTGTCCGGAGGGGAGATGGGAAGGCAGAGAGGGTTAGGAGCTGGTTGAATGGACACAGGGAATCAGGGGTGGAAAGGAGTGTGCTGTCACAGTATAAGGAAAGCAATTAGGGTCACATAACAATGTATGTATAAATTTTTGTATGGGAGAATAACTTGAAATGTTAACTTCATTTAAACTAAAACAATTTAAAAAAAAAAAAGGGTGTGCGTGTATGAATACGTGTGTGAGGATTTTCAGAGCAGAGGCTGATGGCATCCTCTCTCAGGACAGGGGCAGACTTGGGGTTCAGGAAACAAGGCCCATGTGGAAATGGATATGGATGGTTGGGAAGAAGGGTTAGCTGTTGAGAGGCCAGGATGGGATACGACTGGGGCCTCTAACAGACCTGTGTGCC